GATTGAACCCCCTCCCGCATTAGACGTTCTGCGTTCGTTAGGTTCCCCTCCCATCGTAGCTGCTGTGGTCTCCTCTGCAGCGGATGAAACCCAGCCTGCTATCAACCCAGCTCCGTTTGTGCCCATCGCGCCACCACCATATGTCCGTGCAGCTGCCGTGGCCTCATCCAACAGTGGCCCGACTCTGCCTGTTAACTGCGCCACTGCCACCACAGTCTGCTACAGCGTACCCTGCACGTCCACGATTTCGTCTGAGAAGAAGCAACGGACAAGCAAGTACACCCAGTCCCAAATCATGCTCGGAGGTAGGCTCCGCCGCCCATCCCCGCCGCCATCAGCTACCGCAGCCCCTGTCGCCGATGAACCGCCACTCCCAAAGCTAAGTAAGAAGGAACTGATCGAGCAGAAATACCTCGTCACTGAAGCGAAGCACAAAAATACCTGGCTGCCTTACTTTTCCTGGCTTCAACTAACCAAAACCAAGGACAACCACCGTGCTCTCAAGTGCAGTGTTTGCATGACGTATGGCAAGGAGACCACCAAGCACAACTCTCTGGGCGACAGTGGATTAGACCTGCAGACACAGACCATGCGTATATATGAACACTCCATTGCGCACAAGGAAGCAGTGGAGGCCCAGCTGAAGTTCGCCGACGACATCGCCAATGGGCAGAAGAAGATCGGCGACTTCTTGCTGTTGGATGTCGAGGGGAGGCAGACCATGCGGCTGCTCTGAGCCGTCGCGTTCCTCTGTAAGGCCGATGCTTCCATCAGCATGTTTGCATGGCTATGTCGCTTTATGGCTGAGCAGGATACCCCGGACGTACCCCTCCAGTCTTAGGGCGTTTACCTCCCTCGGTAAGTACCTTCGAGTACAGTTCATTTCTCCGACTTATTAGCACGTTCTAACATATAATCCACATCTAGGTGCAGGTATGGCTTTCAACAAATGGTGCACTACCTGGCGACTATGCTTTAACGGGCCCAGATGCAGCACATTCAGACGTCCTCGTTCGTCGGCATCAGTTGTGATGAGAGCACTGATCGTACCAGAGGGAAGCACCTGATAGTCTACCTCACGTTCCTCCAATATCGCCATGCCGTTACCAAATTCTTCTCATTGCTGACCATCGAGAAGTGCGACGCTGCTTCCCTGCTATCTGTGCTCCTCACGCATCTTCAAGGCGCCGACATCGAACTCAACCGCATTGCGGGAATCAGCACTGATGGCGCTTCCGTCATGGTCAATCGCGAGAACGGTCTCATGGCGCGTCTCTGCGAGCACACCCCTCACCTTATGTCGTCTCACTCCATTGCCCACAGGTAAAGAGTCGTTGTGCTATGTTCTTCCTCAAACCTTTTATACTGTTTATTAACGTGATACTTGTGGGAATGTGAGCGGGGAAGCTCTTGCCGTGAAGGACGTCACGTCTGCCTGTCGAGACTTCGACATGGTGGACAACGTTATCTGAACACTGGCCGATCTCCTACGCCGCTCAAGCATATGGAGCCAACGGTTCAAGTACTGTACCTGCAACGTGTCATCCAGAAGACCAACCTTGAAGTTCAAGGAATCCACACGATTCGGTGGCTGTCTAGGGGTAAGGCAGTCAGACGCCTTTTTAAGGTCCTTGGTCATGCCATCGTTTTATTTTCAGAGAATAAGCATGAGCTATATGAGGTTGTCATCTCGTACAAGTTTCAGTTTTGTCTCTTCTTCCTGGCGGCCGTCCTTGCCATCATGAATGAGCTCAACCTCAAGTTTCAAAAGCGAGAGGTGAGCCCTTGCATGTGTATTACTGTTATGTACTCTCAGAAGCAGGACTGACATAGTGTGCCTTGACTTGCGTCCTAATCTTCCCTCCCCCCCTCGCCCGACCACATGTGGATATCACCGAAATACAGTGACGGAAACAATTGTCTGGATGTTTTGCATTAATTAGGGTTTTTGGGCTTTCCGACCACTGTACATAAAGTCTTAATGTTTAATGGTGGTACGTTTGGGGAGGGGCACATAGTGGATGTGTTCATAGTGCTAAAATTTATAATAGTAGACTGGATCTAACTTAGTGCCAAAAGATATATAAAGAGTTCATCAGGAAAATTGTTTCCCAGGACAAAGAGAAAGCTTCCGAGCAGCGTTTCTAGTATTTAGTCCTCAGACACTTGGCCTTGATCACCACCCGCACCCTCCTAGGCATGATATCTATGAGGCTAGTGCAAACCTTTGCAGCGATCTTCTTGCACTCTTCCTGGACCTAGGCTTTTGCATAAAGGAGTGAGCACTAGGAAAATTGCTAAGGATCTGAGCGTATGCAAGAGTATTGTGCACGATTTCTGTTGGCATGTTATCTCTGAGACTAGCCACGCTGAGGTGTGGCCAAAGATGCCATAAGTCGATTGGTACCATCTTATCATGGATCGTTTTCGTCGTACCGTTGTATGGTAGAATTACGAGCAAAGCGGCAAAAACTAGCGTATCTGCTGCAAAACTTAGGTAACATAGCACGGTCGACTGTGCATCCTTGGACTAATAGAATCACGCTACGATCCATAGGTCTCGTCACGGTGTAGCAGTCGAAGAAGTCGCAACTGTTGAGAAAGAATATCCACGTTGAGGTCTGGTGAGTAAAAGGGTCACTACTCTTATAATCAATAATAGGCTCAGATGTGCCAAAATTGAGAGATAGAGTGCACTGTCAGATTTCCGTAAGACGGCTTCAAATATTGTTACCGATCTGGTCTATGCCTCAAATGGTGATCTGCAAGCTGGCTCTGGAGCGCGTTTCTGTCTTCTAGCAGCAGCAAGTTGAATCAGGTAATTCCATGAACATTTGACGATGCTATGGTGGTTTGACTGGCAAGAGGTATAGCAGCCACTATATTCTTGGAAGTACAAACTTAGCAAGAAGAATTCAAGATTGAGATGGTTCCTTGCCTCTACATACCCCAATAGCTGAGGTCCAGGTTGGTGGTACTCCACCAGAGAGTCCCCAACCACGAAAAGTCTTGAAACAAACCCTTCAAGGGGCTACACCAAGTGAAATGTAACACTACACGAAGTAGCGTTACTATTTTCATTATTTTAATATTTATCCGCGTCCTTTGGGCTTGAAATCTTGAGCTCTTGGTCTTGGTTCTGCAAGATAAATTCTTCTTGAGTTGATAGGGGCTTGCTGCACTCACCTGCGACGCAATGGACACTTCACACTCGACAAAATAGAGAAAACACATGTGACGCGCAAACGACGACTTGACATGCAAGTTGTGAAAACTCACTAACACAAACCACATTGTGATACACCATTCAAGCACACACACAAGCCCTAGATAGAAATAACATAGACTCACAAGTCATTCTATGCCATGCATGCACACACACGAACAAAGACGACAAGCCGAGTGCAAGCCATAGGGTTGCACCAACAACTCCAACGCAACATACTCGTCCTCTCCAAGCCATTCTAAGCCATGTGTCCCGCCTAGGCTTGGAATGGCTTGGAGAGCATGAGTTTGTAGCACCAGAGTGACCCTCTTCCTTACCAGACCTCAACTTGGATATTCTTCCCCACCAGTTCGGGCTCCTTCAACTGCTGCACCGTGAGGAGACCCGTGGATTTAACGTGATTCTATTAGTGAAAGGGTGCACAGTCGACCGTGCTATGCGGCAGATATGCTAGTTTTTGCCACTCTACTCGCAATTTTACCCTACAACGATACGATACGACGAAGATGATCCATGATAAGATGGGACTAATCGACTTATGGCATCTTTGGCCACACCTCAGCGTGGCTAGTCTCAGAGATAGCATTCAATATGAAATCGTGCACAATACTCTTGCATACGCTCAAATACTTCGCGATTTTCCTAGTGCTCACCCCCTTATGCAACAGGGTGGGTCCAGGAAGAGTGCGAGAAGATCCCTGTAAAGGTTTGTGCTAACCTCGTAGATAACATGCCTAGGAGGGTGCGGGTGGTGATCAAGGCCAAGTGTTGGTGGACTAGGTACTAGAAATGCTGCTCGGAAGTTTTCTCTTTGTACTGGGAAACAATTGTCCGGATGTACTCTTTGTATATCTTTTGGCACTAAGTTAGATCCAGTGTACTATTATGGATTTTAGTGCTGTGAACACATCCACTATGTGCCCCTCCCAAAGCGTACCAGCGTTAAATATTTTGACGTTATGTACAGTTTTCAGAAAGCCCAAAGACCCTAATTAATGCAAAACATCCTGACAATTATTTCCGTCACTGTAATGAGGGATGTCGACGAGGCAGTGGGGGATCTTTGGCACCGCTAATCGGAGCGCGGCGAGGTTTTCCATGCGGGAGTAAGCAGCACTTGGCTGACGGCTTTCTTAACCAACTATGGGCGCGGGGGGGCGAAGAGAGTGAAGGCGCGCGGAGTCGACAAGGACGGGCAGCCCGTGACGCATACGTACCAGATGCACGAGCGTCAGATCAAGGGGCATGTCTGCCAGAGCAACTACCAGGAGTGCGAGTTGTTGTGCGCCAATTTCGCGAAGGAGAGCATGACGAACTTGCTGGAGCGGCTGGAGGACCTGTCGAAGCTCAGGCCGACGAAGCTGTTTCGGGCAGGCTAGTGACCACGGCTTCGGACGATAATGGAGAAGAGGACGAGGGAGCATCTCCTTGGCTGCAGTGCTATCTTTGATGACAAGCTCTCCGGATGCGACTTGAAGGCAGCGGAGATGGAGTTGGAAATGTGTGCCCTGATCATGCAGAACCACCACGACGAGGAGGGCTTCTTCCAGGGCCTCACAAACTACCTTGGCAACTCTGAGTCAAGCAAGTTAGCTAAGCCTGTAATGCACGCTGCTCTGCCTGCCTGTTCATGTCTGTCTTGGTCGCTTTTGCTCACGTTGCCTCCTGGTTTGTGCCTTTTTCCTGTTAATACCATCCGGTCTAAATCTACTTAAACTCGCCTCTTGTATCTCGTTGTTCCTAAAAACCGGCGCTTGCCCAACATCATGCTTATCTGGCAAGCATGCGTGGTATTACCACTTTCAATTGTGGAGTGCGAGCGTGGATTTTCCAGGCGGAATTTGATCAAGTCATGGGTGCATGGTGCACTCTGCAATGCCCGCCTAGGTGAGCTGATGGTGATTTCGCTGCTGCAGTATGAGATCGAGTGGCAGGAAGCGCAAGGGCAAGGCCGTGCAGGAAGAAGTTGAGCATGAATTCCAGTGCCAGACTATGTGGGAGAGGATTGGGCAGAGGAGGAGGAGGAGGAGGAGGAGGAGGAGGAGGAGGAGGAGGAGGAGGAGGAGGAGGAGGAGGAGGAGAAGAGTAGGAGGAGGAGGAGGAGGAGGAGGAGGAAGAGGAGGAGGAGAAGAGTAGGAGGAGGAGGAGGAGGAGGAGGAGGAGGAGGAGGAGGAGGAGGAGGAGGAGGAGGAGGAGGAGGAGGAGGAGAGGAGGAGGAGGAGGAGGAGGAGGAGGAGGAGGAGGAGGAGGAGGAGGAGGAGGAGGAGGAGGAGGAGGTGGAGGAGGAGAGGAGGAGGAGGAGGAGGAGGAGGAGGAGGAGGAGGAGGAGGAGGAGGAGGAGGAGGAGGAGGAGGAGGAGGAGGCGGAGCAGGAGGAGGGGGAGGAGGAGGAGGAGGAGGAGGAGGAGGAGGAGGAGGAGGATGAGGAGGAGGAGGAGGAGGATGAGGAGAGGAGGAGGAGGAGGAGGAGGAGGAGGAGGAGGAGGAGGAGGAGGAGGAGGAGGAGGAGGAGGAGAAGGAGTAATAGGAGGAGGAGGAGGAGAAGGAGGAGGAGGAGGAGGAGGAGGAGGAGGAGGAGGAGGAGGAGGAGGAGGAGGAGGAGGAGGAGGAGGAGGAGGAGGAGGAGGAGGAGGAGGAGGAAGGAGGAGAGGAGGAGGAGGAGGAGGAGGAGGAGGAGGAGGAGGAGGAGGAGGAGGAGGAGGAGGAGGAGGAGGAGGAGGAGGAGGAGGAGGAGGAGGAGGGGAGGAGGAGGAGGAGGAGGAGGAGGAGGAGGAGGATGAGGAGGAGGAGGGGGGGGGGGGGGATGAGGAGGAGGAGGAGGAGGAGGAGGAGGAGGAGGAGGAGGAGGAGGAGGAGGAGGAGGAGGAGGAGGAGAAGGAGTAATAGGAGGAGGAGGAGGAGGAGGAGGAGGAGGAGGAGGAGGAGGAGGAGGAGGAGGAGGAGGAGGAGGAGGCGGAGGAGGAGGAGGGGGAGGAGGAGGAGGAGGAGGAGGAGGAGGAGGAGGAGGAGGAGGAGGAGGAGGAGGAGGAGGAGGAGGAGGAGGAGGAGGAGGAGGAGGAGAAGGAGGAGGAGGAGGAGGAGGAGGAGGAGGAGGAGGAGGAGGAGGAGGAGGAGGAGGAGGAGGAGGAGGAGGAGGAGGAGGAGGAGGAAGAGGAGGAGGATGAGGAGGAGGAGGAGGAGGAGGAGGAGGAGGAGGAGGAGGAGGAGGAGGAGGAGGAGGAGGAGGAGGAGGAGGAGGAGGAGGAGGGGGAGAGGGAAAGTGCAGGTGCAGCAGCTCTAGAAGACAACCCCTTCCTCTCGGATGACAAGGCTGAGGATGTAGTTTCGGTGGATGCGCCAGAGTTCTAGGTTAGGGTAGGAAATTGGACGAGGTGTAAGTTTATGGCAAATCTGATACGCAATGTTGGCGACCCTAAATATGTTTTGCGTGTCTGGATGAAGATTGCAAACCCTGAGAATATCATACTTGTGACTCACTGAATCTTGCAAAATCAGACTACAGAAATTTCCAAACATAGCTCCTTAAACTTGGCAATTTATTGGGGGGCCAAAATCAGAGTGGGTTTTTTTTTTATGTCAGCCTTGTCCTGGAGCCACATGTGACCGTTGGGTGTCACCCAGAACATCGAAATCTTATTTGTTACTAGCTCTGTTGTTGCTGATTTGTCGTTGGTGTTGTCGTTGGGCTCAAATCTGTCAACAAAACATATATAAATATTTAATTAGGTTAGGTATGTTTGTATAACCTATCTATGTCAGCTCTTAGAGGGGACAAATCATTGTACTTGTATCTCCCCTCCCCCCTTCCTAGTCCAACTTTTCTCGCTATCTCAACATGGCATCTAGAGTTAGTTTAGGTCCCACCTATTCACGCTTCCGCCCTTAGCTACTTAGCTCCTAGCCACCCCTAGCCACTCCTAGCCACCACTAACCACGTCCCTCCCGCCCTCCCCGTCGTCAGCTCGCGCGCCCATCGCCAGCTTGCGAACCCGCTGCGCCAGCCCGCGGCCGCTCGCTAGCCCGCGCCAGCCAGCGCCAGCCTGCACTGACCAGCGCCAACTCGCGCCTACCTGCCTGCCCCTTGCCCGCCGCTCGGCACCTCCTGCTAGCCACTCGATCAAATCGCCTGTTGGCCGCCGCTCGCTCGCCAGCCAACAGCTGCCAGCTCGCTGCTGCCAGCCAGCAGCAGCCAGCTCACATCTCGCCGCCGCCGGCCAGCAGCCGCCAGCTAGCAGCCGCCTGCTCACACTCGACGCCAGACGCAACCCCGTCGTTAGTCCCCTCTCCCCCCCCCCCCTCCCCCCTCTCTCCCCTTGCTCGCCTCATAACCAGCGCTTGCCAGCTCTCCAGCGCCAGCCACCGCCAGCGCCAGCCCGCGAGCGCTAGCCAACTAGCTCGCGCCACCCAGTGCCAGCCCACGCCAGCAAGCGCCGGAGCCAGCCAGCCAGCGCCAGCCAGCACCAGCCAGCTAGCTAATGCCTGCCAGTGCCAGCGAGAGCCAACCAGCCAGCGTCAACCAGCCAGAGCCAGCCAGCCAGCAACAGCCAGCCAGTGCCAGCCATCCAGCGCGAGCCAGCCAGCGCTAGCCACCGCTAGTGCCAGCGCCAGCTACCGCCGCCAGCACCAACAGCCTGCTACCAGCCACCAGCGCTAGCTGCGCTAGTCTCCAGCCGCCAGAGCCAGCCGCCAGCGTCAGCAGCCAGCACCCACCGTCGCCCACCAGCCGTTGCTGCCAGTCGCCGCTGCCCACCAGCCGCTACTGCCCGCCGCTGCTGCCAAACGCCGCTGCCCGCCGCTGCCCTCCAACTGCATGCTCGCTGCCAGCTAGCCGCTGCCAGGTGGCTCGGTGCAAGCTAGCCACCAGCAGCGCCTGCCCGTTAGCCACCAGCAGCACCAGCTAACTCGCCATAAGCAGCGCCTGCCAGCTCGTCGCCGGCAGCACTTGCTAGCTAGCCGCCAGCAGCGCCTACCAGCTAGCCGCCAGCAGCGCCTGCCAGCACGCCACCAGCAGCGCCCGCCAGCTCGCCAACAAGCCCACTCGTCAACTCGCCAGCCTCTTCGCTTGCTCACTCACTCGTCAGCTCGCCACCGCGCGCCACCTCACTTCCCCCAGCTGCCAGCTCACCAGCAAGTCAGCTTGCCAGCTCACTGCTAGTTTGCCAACTCCCTGCCAGTTTGCCAGCTTGCCACCACTTCCTACCTACTAGTCGCCACTGCCACAGTTGCTATTGCTGCTACCTCCGTAAGTGCTTCTGCAGCCCCTCGTGCCTCCCGCTAGTCTCCTGCTCGTTTCCAGAGTTCCTCGACGCCGCTCCTCTCGGCATGGCGACCTCGGTGCGGTCAGTCCCTCAGCCGAACCGCTGGACAGTTCCCTTCGCTGTGCGGCTTCTCGGTCACCACCTACAGCATGTAGACTGCATACTCGAGAAGGACCACATCATTTCGCTCCTTTGCTTCTAGCTCCACGAACTAGAGGTATGCTACCAGGTTGCTTACCCTTTACAGCGGTAGCAGAAGTGGCCGCAGTAGCAGCATCATCAACCGAATTGGGGTCTTGGGGGTGTTGGGCACGGTGGAGGCTCTGGAGATGAGGCCCTGGGGTGGTCACTGCCCTGGGGCCAGTGTGGTTTCTGTGGAGGACCGGGGGCCTGGGGACCTCGGGGTCTAGGTCCAACTACTATTTCTAGTCTAGGAGCCTCTACTATGTTTCCCCTAGGCTCCTCCCCTACCCCTCCTACGGTGGCCCTCTCCTTTATACTCGACTCTAGCGCGTCTCACTGCTTCTTTCGACATAGTGTTGCTCTCACCTTGCTCCCTGAACCGGTCCACAGATCCCTAGCAGACTCCCCCGCCACAGTACTCGCATGCAGCACTACCACTCTCTTGTGTCCAACTGTCCCCTCTGGCTCCCTCACATGTCTGCACATCCCTACGTTTTACAGGAACCTAGTTGGTGTCGGTCACCTCCAGGACCGAGGAGTCACCACCGCATTTCCTGGCTATGGGAGACACGCAAACTGTATGGACACAGCCACGGGTAGACGTCTAGCCCCTTTTTAGTGTGACCCAACATCTGGTCTCTTCACCCTGCACACTGAGTTCCCGCCAGTTACTGGGTTTGCTGAGGTAGCCGCGTCGTGCTCCTCTCGCTCCCTCGCCCACCCAACCCTTCTGTGGCACCACCGCTTAGGTCACCCTGCACTCCCGTGTCTTAGGAACATGCCTCAGCATGGTCTCCCTGCATCGTTCCCAGCCCTGCTTGCGTTGGTAGCGCCACTCTACACCTCCGGCCTCGAGGGCCGGCAGCGAGGCGCCCCTCACTCCTCGTTTCCTCCTACCACAGCGCCGCTACAGGCACTGCACATAGATGTCTTGGGCCCTGCCCCGATCCATGGTCTTAGTCGGGGAGCGCTACCTCCTAGTCGTCGTTGACGACTTCTCGCACTACATTACGGTTTTCCCGCTAGAGTGGAAGGCCAATGTGCCTACTGTTCTCCTCTCATGGCTGCTCGTCACTGTGTATAGCTTGGTCTTGTTCCTGTAGACTCTCATTTGCTAGGGCCTTGATTGTGTACATACCTTTATACATATATTTATTTTTATATAAATATTTCCCTGACTGGCCTTGTGGCCTCTCCTAGTGGCCGGACTAGTAGTGCCGCCCTGAGCTGCTTGTCTCTCACCAGGCACTGCCCCTATCCAGTCTAGGGGGTGTGTCAAACATATCTGAGTATGTTATTATAGACTATATAGGGTTGTGCCTTAGAGAGTACAACCACTATACTATATTCCCTTGTCACACTCATTCTAGTCATTCAATCATTCGAACAGTTTTCGCCACGTTTCGTTTCGTGGTTGTGGGGGTTGTGGGAGGAACGTGGCTCTTCCTATCAATGAGCTGGTTTTGTACTTTGTTCAGGGGTAGTACCGAGAAATGTGAAAAGATTTCGGGGGTTTCATTTTCCTGTATCGGTTTTTAACACGAGATTTGGGCGGGAACTTAGACACAAGAAGATCTGGAGGGCAAGTCGAGAGAAATTGTCGCAGCTCGCATAGCTGGGAAGTGAGTGGTGCGGACGACTTGGACAATTTTATATCGTTTTCGGCTGGTATGAGAGCAATGTGACTGGTACCGAAGGACTAAGGCAAATTCATACGGGTTTCGAGGGGAAGAGTACTATAATCTCCCAGCATGATCACCCTAGCTCTTTGGAAAAATCACTGAAAATCGTTCGGGTGGACATACTCAAGGGAGCTACTGTAATTATTAAGACCCATAGACATTTATTTTCTACTTACGAGATTGTTTCATTGTATCAACACTTAAGGGCCAGAGAATTCTCGCCCTCAGCCTATCGTAGACTCACCAGGGTGGCACTACTAGTCCAACCACTGGGAAGAGGCCACAAGGCCAGTTTGAATAAGATATGTATAAGGGTCTATACACAATCAAGGTCCTAACAAGTGAGAGGCTACAGGAACGAGACCCAGCTGTACACAGTGTCGCCGATGATCTTTAGGCGCAAGCGCCTTAGTAAAGATATCAGCTGTGTAATACACAGGGTTTAGATACCAGAGGCCAAGTGTAATACACGAGCCTAGCGACGCTGCTGCAGCTCACGCAAGAGGAAGTACCGCAGCTGGATATGCTTCGCTCTGCCCTCAAGTCGTGGCTCCTGACACAGGAGGATCATGGCCCTGTTGTCGGCGTACAGAACTGGGGCAGAGCTAGGCCGCTCACCCAAGTCGGCGAGCAAGAATTTCAGCCAGCAGAGCTCCTGTGCCGCCATGGCACCTGCGTAGATCTCAGCCTCACAGCTAGACGAGTCTCACAGCCTCACAGCTAGATCTCAGCCTGCAGGTGGACCTCCACGAGATGGAACCTGCACCAACGCTAAAAGAGTAGACCTGTGAGGACCTAAGAGTCTCGGTGTCGTCTGCCCAAGAAGCGTCTGTGTGCCCGGTCTCCGTCCTCCTAGCACGAGCCCCATGCCGGATGTACTTGCAAGATAACGCAAAGCCCTCTTAGCTGCTAACCAGGGCTGTGGTCGGTGTCTGCGTTGGGCGACAAAGTGAGCCAGGATGCTGAGAGGGTATGCGAGATCTGGACGAGTGCAAGTCATCAGGTACATGAGGCATCCCACCAGCTCTGCGTAAGGACCACTAGGCTCTACAACCTCCTCCGGGACTGGGGCAGAGAGTCTGTGGTCTACTGGCAGAGGGGTGGGCTGTGCGGAAGAGAACTGAAGGCCGAACCTCTGAAGGACCTGGCGCACCAAGTGTGACTGTAAGAGAGTGATGGTGCACGCTGCTTTGTCTCTGGAGATCTGCAAGCCAAGGTCTCCTAGGTCAGTGCAGGTGTGTCTTCTCAGCAGCTCGGCCTTCACGGCGGCCAGTGCGTCTCTGTCTGCAGTAGCAAAGATCAGGACATCTACGTAGACAAGGATGTAGAACGGAGTCTGGCCTGAACGGAGAAAGAGCAAGGGGTCTGCAGACGAAGGGAAGTACTGCAAGTCAGCAAGTGTAGCACGCAGCGTGTTGTGCCACTCACGGGCGCCTGTCACAGGCCGTAGACGGGTCGCCGGAGGAGCCACTCGGTGCCAGGGGGGAAGGTACCGGAGAAGCCCTGGGGGCGGCGCAGGTAGACCTGCTCGTGTAGACTGCCCTGGAGGAAAGCTGTGGAGAAGTCGAGGGAGTGCAGCTCATAGTCACGCTGTACTGCTACGTGTACCAGCGCCCGAAGAGTGGTCATCTTCGGGGTCGAGGGAAAGGTCTGAAAGAAGTCCACCCCCTCACGCTGACTAAAACCTCGAACGACGTAGTGCGCCTTGAAGACAGGCGGCTCTCCAGGAGGGCGCTTCACCTTGAAGAGCCACCGGCCAGTACCTGCTCCAGCACACTCCCAAGCACCCCTGGAATGCACAAACCCCAGCGGTGGTGACGACGGCGGCTGCGGCTGCGGCGGCATCGGCGGAGGCGGCTGCGGCGGGGACAGCAGCGGCGGAGTTAGGGGAGGAGAGACTGGGGCAGAGACAGGCGGGGGAAGAGACTCCGCTGAGCCGCGAGAGTCAGCGGACTCCTCAGCAGGGACAACTGACGGGAGGGGGGTGACGTGAGACACACCAAATGGGGCAAGGCGGGGAGGAGGGTGGACAGGGTCGACCGGGGGAGGGGGGGGCACCAGGAACTGGGGGGGAGTGACCGCGGGACCACGGTGGGGAAAGCGGTGGTAGATGGAGACGGACTCGTCGCTCAGCGACCCCATTCTAGTGCGGGGAGTCCGGCAGGGTGAACGTCTGGGAGATGCCCTCCGCACGACATAAACGACCAAGGCAGCCAAAGGCAAACTCGCCACCACGGTCGGAGTGCTGACGCAAGATAGGGAGGCCTCGGTGAACATGCACAGAGACAAGCCACGAGAGAAGAACATCAGGCACGTCGGCCTTCCGCTCCTGGGGAAAGATGGTTGTGTAGCGGGTGTAGGCATCGACAAGCACTAGGAAGTAGCGCTCACGACGCAGCCCATGGACGGGGGCGGGGCCCCAGACGTCCATGTGTAGGGTCTGCAGTGGTGCGGAGGTAGGGGGGAACGAGGAGGAGTGAGGGGCACGGCGGAGCCGCCCCTCGACACAGGGCGTGCACGGAGGCGCGGGTGAGGAGGGGAGCGCATGGAACAGCACTGGGAGTCCTTGGACAAGATGGTGCTGGGACATGTGACGGAGACGGATGAGGGCGGGGTGACCTAGACGGTGGTGCCACAGATGTGATGGGTGAGTAAGCAACCGATACGAGCACGCCGCAGCAACCTGGGATGACGCAGGTACCTGGGGAGGAGTCCCAACCGGGGGGGAAGCGGTGTCCAGCGTGAACAAGCCAGACACCAGGTCGTGGGGGAACGTGGTGAGGGGGATACCAGTGGCGGCTTGAGTACAGACAGCATACCGCTCGTGCCCAGGGAACGTAGTGGTGACACCAAGGTCCTGGAGGCAGCCGACACCAACTAGGTTGCGAGAGAACGAGGGGGTGTGCAGGCCGGTAAGGGAGCCTGAGGGAACCGCCGGACAGGGGAGATTGGTCGAGCTACAGGCAACTACAGGACCGGAGGAAGGGTCTGCAAGTGCAACTGCAGCAGGAGCAGCAAGCAGCAGAGTCCAGGGTGAAGGAGAGCGCGGCAGCGGCGACAGAGGTCGGAGGAGCGAGGGAGGACCCTAGGCTAAACAAGGCAGGGGATCCTACGCTTGACACAGCCGGGGAGCCTGAACTAGGAACCAGTAATACGTGAGTCATCAACATACAGCGCATACAAAGCAGAGCTAATCTCATCCATATCCATGTCAAAAATCTGAACACGACGAAGGAGCAGACGGTGCCAGTCGAGGAGATAGGGCGACGGGCCGAAGCAGAGGTGAAACAGGTCGTCTAGGCGACGAAAGCAACAAGTGGGGGTATGACCGATCTTACCGCACACGAGGCCGCGACGAGGACCGGTCTGGAGTTGGTACTGGCAGCGCCCGTCACTCGGACCACCACCCGACAGCACGCCGCGTGAGCGACCACTACGACCACCGTCACCTCTGGCTCCAGGCCACCCGGGCGGGAGACGGCCGACCCTCCGCTGCTGCTGCGCCTGCTGCTGCTGCTAGTGCGGCTACAGAGCTTGCTGCTGCTGCTGCTCCGGGGCACCAATCCCAGCTCCCTCATCAGTACTACCAGCGGGCTAGCCACCTCCACCACCTGGACCACCCCCTCCTCCGCTACCTCCGCCGCGCCCAGCCTTGAGGCGGCGAACCTTACCCAGACAAAACTGCACTACGGCGGCCGTCTCCACAGCCGGAGCTGTCTCAGCAACCACAGCAGAACCGTCGGAGTAAGAGCACTGAGCAGGGGCACAGCCATGAAAGATAGAGACCGAGACAGTACCGCTAGACTGGGCGATAGAGCACTGACACGTCTCTACGGCAGACAGGGTGTCGACGAAGTCAGTGTGGGTGAGGTCAGCGGGGTGGAGACTAAGGAAGTGATCGCGAGCGGTGGCAAGGCGGTCAAGGAGGCGGGTGGCAAGCAGATAGAGGGTAGAGCAGATGGGGGGCTGAAACACATGAAGCTGAGCCTCAGTGCAGGCAGCGCGCCAGGTTGTGTCTAGCGTGCGCAGGTGGGCGGCGAGGTCGGTGACAGTGGCGAAGGACGCAAGGTAAGGAAACAGCATGGGCAGGATAAGGTGACCTACAAAGGAAGAGGGCGGGGTGGAATAGTGCGCAACAACCGCCTCTAGGAACTCCTGCGCAGTCCAGACTGACCTAAAGCGGGGACGCTCAGACAGGGGAAGGGCATGACTAATCGCAAGCTGTGCGGCAGCGTCACGCGACAACCAGACAGCACGAGCAAGGGCAGCAGCTGCAGCAGATTCACGGACAGCAGAGGTGGGGGCAGCGGGGAGGGCAACAGGGGGGTCCGGGCAGGGGGGCGTACCGTCAATGTGGACGGCCAGAGAGTGGCCGTCCTGCCGCTGACCAGTCAGGTGGCACTGGATGCCGATGAGCCACAAGTCGAACTCAATCGGCTGCCCCTTGGCATCGAAACGCAGGACCGAGTCCGCCATCATGGTTGCAGCAGCAGTAGAAT